CATGCTGGTCCAGCAGGTGACTCTGCGCCTCAAAGCTCTCCAGAGCGCAGGTGTTGCAATGGGTCAGGGTTCTTTCGGTGTCCCATCTGCGATAGTATGACTAGTCGTGAGCAGTCTAGCCGCAAGCATTTCGATTGCACCTGCTGACATCTTTCATCGAAATCATACCTACCTCATCCGGTGCGACGCCCTACTATCCGTTCAATCGTCACTATGATGATGTTGATAGTGATGGTGATGAAAACATGAAGATGACAATGGTAACGTTGGTGATATTCATGGTCCATTGACTCCTCCTGATCAAGAGTACCTCCCTCTGCATTAAATGATCACGGTTGTAGTGGTAACGGGGATTGCATTCTTGCAAGTGGGTCGTCCTTGCTTAGCATCTGTTGTTGACACAGTCATCCTGTTTGCTTGCAGCCAAAAACCGTTATCAGTACAGAGCGCAGTACACTTCCCAATCAGCCGGGATTGCATTGTGAATTTTGCCTTGGGTATGGGAGTCCGGGTGTCCTGGCTTGTCAGCTTCACTGGAGGTGGGGCAGATTGTTTTGCAAAGCCCATGGGGTGTCCATGATCCGACACCAACTCCGCGTGCTTTCTGGCGGTTAGCTGAGCGTAGGAACACACCTTCACCAGTTTGGTTTTGGTGGTCTTTGAAGTAGATGCACATCACGGGTGCGTAGTTGCCGTTTCCAGATTCTTCTTCAACAGGAGTCATCATGGTCCAAACTGCATTGGTCGGCACCTCAACCTCCTTGGCTATCTTGCCAAGGCAAACCGTGCCACAACCTGTGTCGCTGAACAGAGAAATCTTTGCATTCAGGAACGAATCTCCAGCCCTTCACGCCTTGCCCTTTCAACCTTCAAGTCAAATCCCTGTACACAAGCCCAAAAGCTTTGAGGCTTAGCCTCCAGCCCTCAAAGCTTTGGTAGGCCCCAACTGCTGCCCCCACATTCCTGAATCTCTCACTGCTCAGCTGCAAGGGAACACCTTGGGCAGTCTCTGGGCCGGCCGCAACTTCTTCATCGCCCTTCATTCCACAGACCTGAAGGCCCAAAGGGTGACTCTCTGTTTTGTTCTTCCTTTGACCTTCCGCATTTCTCCCTGCGTGTTTAGTGCACTATTTGGTTTCTACGCGTGGCTATCGTGGACCTTGCAGACAGCAGTCCCAGGATCAAGCTGGCTAAGCAATCCGCTGCTCACTGCTACAGACATTCCCACGTTACATGTTGCATTAGTCATTACGTAGTACCAAAAGCAGTGGTAGTGGTAACACGCGGAGCAATAATAGCTGTGTTGGGTCCAATTCGTTTTTGCCTTGCAGCAGCAGGGGGAGCATGTTTTCAGGGTCTAGAGTGTGCCTGGACCTCATCATCAAATTGCTCAGCTTCCAGGTAAAATTGGCAAAAGCATTGATGTTGTCAGCAGGTACTGGGCCAAAAATGAGGAAAGAAGGCTCATTTCAGGCTTCTTTCGTCAATTCTAGTAGCGCCCCAGTCAGCGCAAAGATGACATTCACACGTGCCTGGGTGGATGCAATGAATGTGGTGCAGCACGCAGCCTGAAGCCTACCCTTGCCAGGGCCTTCAGTAGCAGCAGCCGCAGCAGAACTAGCAGAACTGGTAAGAGTAGTGCCGGTGACATCTGGTGCACAACTGTAATATTTACTCGCTGCTCATCATGGCCTTGCGACTGATGCTGCTCTCGCTGGAGGTTGCTGGGCACAAGACGATGCACAGGGCGAAGAAATCGATTGCTGTGCTGCCGAGTCTGCCAAGAGGACTGATATGGCTGATGTTAGGTTGTCTCTTGGTGCTATTGCATGGGACGTGCCGAAGTCAGACCTGTGTATACCTCCCAACAAACCAGGATACCTGATCTTAACGGCCTTCCTCAAGCAAATGCAACATCGGCGGCGGACGATGTTGTCGGGTTTGTTGTTAGTAGCATGCATGCTCCAAATGGAGTTATCGCACTTACGCAAGTCACCTGTTGGGTCCGCATTGGCTGGTGGGTCCATTTAAAGCTTATATGCAAGGCCCCGAAGATTCAGGCATAATGTGGAAGAAGGGTTCACAAACGAGACGCAAAGCGCAAAGATATCTAAAGTCTTGGGCCGCGCCCAAGCATCGTAATCCTAGGCTGTGACTCAGACAAGCTGATGGCACTTGGAAGCCAAGACTGCCTTTGCACAACCGGCCATGATCTACTTAACTGACAGCAGGTCGGTCTAGTCTTGGAAGTCTAGGGCCTCAAGCTACAAAGACCAAAAGCTGCGAATCTTGAACGTGAAGCTGCCAAAAGACGATAAAGTTTTGTTGCCCAGGACACCATCTGCAAGCGCTCGGAGCAAAGGCCAACGCTCAGTTTGTGCTAAGGGTTGGTGAGCGCGAACTACAGGATCTCGGTGTTTGCGGTTCTGCTTCAGATGAATCTGGAATGATAGCTGGTGGAGTTTCACAACTGTCTCAGGGTTGCCAGCGCGTAGTTTATGCACACGTTGGTCTTTCTCCATGCTTTGTGCGAAGGAATCGGTCGGCATTTCATCCAAAAATCTTGTCGCCTATAGAAGGTAGCATCGGCGTGCAATCTGAATGACGCTAGTGGGGTTGCCTCTCTGGATTTGCAATTTTGTTTGCTGCCCCTGGCCAGCGGCTTTTCTAGCATTTAGCTCTCGTTCTGAAGCTTGGGAGGATGGGTCGCAGGCAGAACTGGTCCTGAGTGGCACTGCTGCATCTTGTGCCAACAGGTATGTGTATGTATGTGGTTCAAACAAGTCCAAACTATCAGCAAGGGTTTTCGATTGTCTCACAGCCTTATTGACCATTTGTGACAATGATTCCTTTTTCTCGAATGCCTACGTCCAGGCAGTTGCACCACCAGAGCACTTTGGCGTCACCCTACTTCTTTCCGCTGAGAATGCCGGGGCCTTGTGACAAGCTCGTGGTGGCAGGGGCTCAGCTGACGTCTGGATTGCTGCCTGGGAGTTTAGCATGGAAGGAAGCACTGTTGTGCTTGTGCGTCAGGGTTTGGGGCTCACAACCGGTGAGATGCGTTTGCGTAGGTCGCGGTCAATGAAGGAAGCGCTTCAGGCTTCAGGCCGTAAACCCTCACTAAAGTTCTTTCAGCTACCTCAGGTGGTTCACAACAATCTTGGCGGTCAAGGGCCTGACAAGGACCCGCCAAGTCTGAGCCAATTATCCCGCTCTGCCTCTTCTGTTTAGGATTTGGATCCTTTCCACCCCCTCGTCCTCCCCAGCACAACGACTTCGCGATCAACTTGTTTTGACAGATGCTCTGCTCGCAGAGGATGGTGGTCGTTTAGTTTGGTGTGTCCTCCACTTCGGCCTGGAATGATGCCACCATTGAAACAGGTCTGCTGAGCAGCTAGCCTGGAATATGTTTTGGGGGCTGGGGGAGCTGAATAGTGGCATATGGTGCTTGCTGGGACTCAGGAACTGTTGCACATCACCTTAAGTCATGGTCCTAAACGTCTGGCCATGGATGCTTTACATATTACCTATATGGCCCCGTTATAGTAGTTTCGATTTTATTTTCCATTATCCCATTATTGCCCCAATATACTAATCCTAGATGCTAGTCTTGGTGTTGAGAGTCTTGCAGCCTCAGGCTCGGTATCAGTCGGCCCTGCGTTACTAGGTGGGGGTGTAAGGTTTCCAGAATGGACATAACAAAATGGAAGCTACTATAGTGTATTGGGATAATATTGGGATGATGGAGAATAAATACGAAACTACTTTAATGGGGCTATATAGGTAAGATGTAGCCTTTCTTGTTAACTTTGGAAATGAGACCCACAAATCCCAAAACATCAATGATCGGCCAACTAAGCCTTGGCCCCAAACCCCAAACCCCAAACCACTTGTCAGGTCTCTCAACCGGAATTCCAAGTTGGGTATAGTCCTTTAACAATCCCATACAAGCCTACAACTATCTGGACAGAATCTACACGTAGTCTTTACCTGAAGTCCCCTGTACCTGTTACATGATTCCTGCATCGTCTCCTGTGCTTGCCACGGAAACCTCAAGCCGGAGGACGCAGCAGAGCTTCGCTTCAGCAGAGCCGGTGCTGTGCGTGGTCGGGCTGTGGACGTGGTGCCCGGATGCACTGCAATAAGTTTGGGTAAGATTGAGGTATGTTAAAATCGCCCCTAGATGTCTTAAACTTGCGAATGCTTGCTGGATCCCCAAGGACACCCCATTTTCATCACTTCCGTTATCTTCCGTTTGTAGATTGCGGTGCTCAGATGATGGTGTGAGATAATTGTAGCTATCATTGCCCGTGGATTACAATGGAAGGGGGTAGTGCAAGTTGGCATCATCGCTAGCTTAAGAAGTAATTTTTCAAATCCAGTAAAAGTTGCTGGCCAGGGCCACTGTTACGTGCATGGCTTCAATTTGGGTGCCCCAGAAGAAGAGCCCTACTGGGAGATCGCAGCTTTTGACCAGACTTTCCTTCTTCTGAATGCACCCTTATTTTTTCAAGACATCGCCGCGCTGGTTGTGATCATTTGATTGCAGGGTGGTGGGCGGGTGAATTTTTCTATGCTGGTTAAAAATCCCTATGCAGCCCCGGCTCCCATTTCATTTTCCTTTTTCTTTTCCGTCTGATTCTCTTCTCTTCGGGGGTGAAAACCGAGCTGGCTCGCATTTGTTTGACTCTCCTGCCCTACATCAGCCTTTTCCACAGGTGCTGGAGGCGAAGGGTCCCTACCATGCAAAGAACCCCAAGCTCAATGGCCAGCTGGGACACCACTTCGGAGCCACCATCAACGCATCTCTGCTTGAAAAGTGCTTGGCCGGGCGCAGATGCAAGCCTTTGCGTACAGTAGCCGCAGAGTACTGACTTGCTGTAAATGCATCTTGAACATGCCCTTTTTCCTAGCCATGAGAGTTTCCATGCGTAGTGCCTGTCAGCATGGTGTGTTTGCCACAAAATCGAACGAGATCTGTCGGACATGCCGTTGTAAGCATGCTCGTTAGCAACACCTTGGTTATGGGTGATGAAAATGCTGCACTGTTGCACTGTCGGGAGAAATGCTCTCGTGATGAGGTCGCGTTGGGGACTTCAGTGGATGTACGGATCTCACTCGTGCGCTCCACACAGGCGCGAGACAATGTGAATTCCCACTTGTGCTGTGAGCTGCTGGGCAAAGTCCACTTCCATCAGTGGCCATCCTCTCAAACTTCTATCCTACGTGGTGCACGAGCCTGCTAGCGAATCTGAAGCTCTCACAACGAACTGCAGAGTTCAACTATGGACAACTACCATGCATGCCTAAATCCTTAACCATCCTTAGCTCAATCGCCTAGAGTCTGTAAGCCCCAGCACACCTCCAAGCAGCATGGTCGCAAACTGATTTTGAAGCGAAGGACCCCAAGTGCGAGAATGCATCCCTTTGTCTCTGACACCTTCTTTGCCTGTCGTATTACTGGGCTCTGCTGCCCAAGCACTGCCGACATGTGGCCAGGGCAGCGATGGGGAGGAGCCTGTCACGGTGCCGGAGCTCTACCTGAGCGTGTGCGACGCGGAGGCGCCACTATCTTGGGATGCATCGTAGAGTTTGTACGTTGAGAGGATGTGTCCTTGAATTTGTGACTAGTTGCTCTGCTGCCCGCTGAGAGCGTTTTGCTGCTACTCGTAAGCTTCGTAACGCGTGGTCGTACTGATCTAAGTGCAACTATGAAGCCGGAGGGTATGTCAAATGGGAGCTTTGTAGCTAAGACTTCCTAACTCTACGCCATGAGCCCTACACCCCGAGAATGACGGATTAATGGGGATCGCAAAAGTCCGAGGGGTTGCAAAAAGAACCCTAACGTTCTACACCTTTGTGCCGGCTTTTGTAGAATGTGGAACTTGAAGACAGAGACCGCCGCCACCAGGCACGTAAAAACCCTTCGCCCGCTTGTGAGGACTCTGTGGCATATCTCACAGCGGCCTCAGAAGTTTCCGTCTCACACATCCAGGCAGGTCCTGCTGCAAGTGGGAAGAGTACGAGATGTAATAGCCGCAAAAAAGTAAGTATCTGGGTAAGAGTGGTATTACGGTTTTGAGCTTTCTGTCTGGAGGGGTTGCTCTCGCAACAGTAACACGCATCGACATTGTATGATTGAATGGATCTCCCTCAGCATATATGCGCCAAAAAACAAGGACTGGTAGACCTGGATGGTGCTTTGATAATAAGAGCCTGCACACTTGGTCATCCTTTTTACTATAAGGATAAGGCCCAGGGTCTCAAAAGGAGAATTCCCCATGATGAGGAGGTCCCCTGTCACCCCAGGCAGGGAGGCAGTCACTCCTGAATCAGCTTTCAACTTAACAAAGATTCTAGTGCTGATTCCTCTATATAGTGTCTAGATCAGGGCCCCTCATTCTCCAGTCTAAGCCAGGAAGCCCAAGTGTAGTCAATCTGGAAAAACCGAAGGAGACAATACGTCGTTAGCCCAAACTCTGCGTCGGAACAGTTGTGGGTCATTCTGAATCAGTGTCCCTGTCCGATGTTTCAGGACTCTTGTTTTCCCAGTTCGTCTTAACAGCGTGCGCCTGAAGCCCACGCTTCCGTATGAAAAGGCGTTAGAAAGCAAAGGCTCCAACTCGGCGTTATTCAGTATTTCCATAGTTTTGCTACACAAGTTCCTCAAAAACCCATCAGAAAGTTTGGGCTTCGGGCTTCAACAAGAACAGGGGTGAAGCAAGCCCTGATTGTGCGTCATCCTTTCCCAATTCCAAGCTACCATACGTGGAGTAGGTATCCACCAAAATCATGCTAATTTTCGGCAACGCCTCTACAGCTTGAGACTGCCCTCATCTCCCCTACAGCCCCGCCTCACACCCCTCCCTCCATAGCCCAATACACTCTGGCCAGGGAGCCTTCTGGCCCAATGGCACAGTTCTCCATGGGCCCACAGCAGAGGTGCTCCGTGGCAATTGCGCCATAGCCTAAACTCCTGAAATGGGGTTGTATGGGATTATATAGGGGACTATTATGAGACTTACTCAGGGGGATACTAGGAGTTTAGACTATAGCTCAAATAGGTTTAAGGGCTGGATGTGCCGGGGTGAGGTCAGGGAGTGTTTTCAGAAGGAGGTACTTGACCTGCGGTCAAGGCTGCTGTGTTAAATACGTTTTGTCCGTGAGTCCTGTCACACATGGTCTCGCAGGCATGAAAGAAACAGCTTGTCCCAGTTTTCTTTGCTTAAGCCCTTCCAAGAGTATCCACCTCGCTATATGATGAAAGTCTCTTCACATTCATTGCTCTTCCCTACTTGTTTGTAGCATTCAAATCAGGTTGAGACAATCAACCTAGTGTCCCCAAATCTGGGCAATCCCACAAGCCACGACTGTCAAAGCCCTGACTACTGCCTGGTTGAGAAAGTGGGTGCTATGTCCTTGAAGTCCTCAAAGAGCCGCAGTAGCATATCATTTATGTACGTCAAAGCCAAGGCCATCTTCTCCCAAAAAATGCCACACCCTGCTTTCTACCCTCCACTTGGAGCTTCACATGTAAGTTGCTCAATTACAAGTATGCAAAACGCAAAACACGTTTATTCTTCTCTACAACTCCAATCAAAACTGAGAGCTTGTCATTTTAGCCACGTTTATAATCCTCGAGGACAACTTCTGTATCCTGCAAAATCCCTAAGTGTCTCTGGGGTTCTTAAAGCGGCCCCGGGTTTGAGAATCCTCCAAGTGTCCATGAACCTCCAAGCAGGCACCTTACATTGCCCCGGCTGGACCAGCGCCGATCTTCGCATTTCGAGATGCATCCTCCTTCCAGGCCAGGGCAAACGTTCCACAGAAGGGTCCCTATAGCAAACAGCGGATTGCATCCTCTTGACTGTATTTGGCAGTCCCTAGTTCTGAGAAGCGTCCACTTAGCGTTTAAAAATGAAGGTCTCCTTTGTTGGTGTTCTTGCAAGGTATGGGAACTTACGATGCGGATTTCAACGTACAGTGTGCATACATTCGAAAAGTTTCCGTTGATTTTTGTGACCAGACGCCTCGCGTAGGCTGTGAAAATTCGATATGGTGTTTTTCAGAATTAGAGATCCATTCTTGGTGGTCTCTGCAATAAGGTATATAGACATGTGGGGGGCATGAAAGTTTTTCGTTTTGTTCATAGAAGCAGGTCAGTAGTCTAAACTGCTTACATGGGGTTATATAGGGGGACTATACAGGGGAGTGTATTAAGGAGGATACTAGGAGTTTAGACTATAGCTCATACCACGCTGCTTTTCATCTCACCCTACGCTGCGGAAGTGCTTTTTTCGTCATTGTGGCAAGGCACCTTCTTTTTGAGGCCTAAACCTCAAAACTCTAAACCCCAAACCCTGAAAACTCTAAACCCTAAATCGTAAAACCCTAAAAAAAAGCCCTAAAAACCCTAAACGATCCCATACATCTGCAGGTTAGACTCACAGCGGCTTCTGAAGCAGGTACGGCCCAGCAGTCAGTGCCACCAGGGTTTTAGGATACTGAGATCCCTTGAAAGGATCGGATTCCTCTAAACGGGTTTGGTACGGGTTATGCGGGGTTACGGGAAAAATGGCAACTACTTCATTTTTTTAGGAATTTCCCTAATGGGCTCATTTGGGCGTTTCAGTTTGTCAGATCCCTGAATGGGGCCTAGGTATGCGGCCGGCAGGACTGCTAAGGACTGCTATGTGGCCACTAGCTTGTGGCTTCCGGGTTTATGGGGCAAGGTAATCTTCGGAAGCAACCACCTCCCCCTAACATTGAAACCCTCACCCCCCTAAATCAAAACTTTTCATGGTGGGATGCTACACGATACTGGGAGCCATCGTGGTGTGCTACATTATGCAGTGAATGCTGAATATTAGGGGATGGTGTTCTTGATATTTGGGGAGGTGACTACTCATGCTGCAAGGTACGGCTTTGACTTGGGCCTCTAGTGGTGGCCTTATGCCCCGAAATATAGAATTTTTCAAAAATTGAGTTGATCCATGCTCCTGCGCAGTTGAACCTTACCAAGGATTCTATCAGAGTATTAGCCTTGCGTTAGGTCCGCTTTCTAACCGGCCCGGTGTCATCAGCAATTCCACTGTGCGAAGCTGAGCGCTTCTGTTCCGCAGATCTTCCTCCGCAGGCAGCACGGTGGGAAGCGTCTGGGCTGGGCGCAACTTTCTCCTGTCCCTGCGGTCCCCGCATGTGACGCAGGCCAGCACAGTTTCAGCGCAAGCCTATTTGAGTTTCAACCGTTCTTCCTGGAACCATACAGGATTATTCGGAGGTTTCCCATAATTAGGGTTACCTGATTGGGGGTCCCCATACTAAGGATTATGGCCTTATATGGTCTTATATTATTTTGGGGTGTATATTGGGGTCCCTAATGTTGCGAAATTACCATGCAGGTAAGGCCCTTGTTTGCTACATGTTTTGGAGGATGGTGTTCTGGCTTTTGGGTGCCTCTCGGGATCACATTACATGGGTAGTTGCCAAAATGAGGATCCCATTTGTGTACCCCTAAATATGAGGTGCCGTAGTATAATTAGGGACCAAATGGGCCCATGAATTTTTAGACTAGCCCACATGATGACTTTGGAGACTTGAGGCAGGTTTGGGGGGTCAGCAAGTGAACCTTTGCTGATGGGAGGTCTCGCCCTTTTACACCATCTCATTCCGGTATAGCAGGGATTTCACAAGGATCCTGGAGAGGTGTGTACTAGAATTTTACTTAGGCTGGTAAATGAGGATCCTTTATTTCTGTTCTTCGGATCCCTGATTCAGAGGAACTCCCACGTATACATGTGCACGTGACGTGCTGTTCGTGCTGCAGGCATCGTCTAGCAGCGGTGCCGGCCCCAGTGGCCAGGGATTACGGACAATGTTGGTCCTTTGCAGAAGGTCCTGAGAACTTGCCATTTTTCGTGTATACTTTTCGAGACGCTTGCTTGCTGGCTTGTGCTTGCACTTAATAGTTGAGGTGCAGAGGCAATCGCTTGAACGATGTCACTTCATGTTTGTAGTTGCGATCTCCCTAGGTTGACGCTTTAAAGTTGCAGCTTGTGTGTTCAGGTTCCAGGCTTTGAGGGTTTCGGTGGAGTGCAGCAGTGGGGTCACCATCGCATGCATGTCTTCGCTCGGGCAAAATTTCTGCCCGAGCCAAGGCGCGAAAAAGCGGTGTGCTGCAGTCCACGTGAAAGCCCATTTGGTTCGTTTCATGTGTCCGTCCCGTGTTCCAGATTGAAGCGCATCAAGCGCAACCCTTCAGCACACAACAGTTCCGCATTCAAGGAGTGACAGGGCCTTCTTTGCACCAACGCGATGCATGATTTATTGCTTCATGTTCCAGGCTTTACTAGGTGTCGTAGCATGAGGCGTCGTAGTACAAATGGCAGCCTGCACTCCCAGAATGCTTTAGCCAGAACCATCAAGAAGTCATATCATTCGGTGTGAGCTTTGCCCTAGTCCTACACTCCAGTTGGCATCCTACCTTTGTGATGGGTGTAGCAGTTACACATCGACTGAGGCAGGCCTCTGGTGTTTCTGTAGAGACCAGCCCATTTCAGTACACATGGCTTGAGCCCTTAGCCTCGGACCGTGAAGTGTGTCTAAACACTTCACCTTCCTCCCATCAGTATTGCGATGTTTGCAATGTTCTCGATACAATCTCATAGGTATCTAAAGGAATCCTGTGAATAAAGCATGCAGGTTCCTGCAGCAAATCTGCCAAAGCTGCTGAATACATCCCTATATATCCCTTATACATCCCTTATACATCCCCATAACCCCTTTCAAGGTACCCCTGATTTCGGGAAACCCCCCAACACCCTAAACCCTAAACCCTTGGGGGAAACCCAACCCCAATATAGCCCTAATATAGCCCCAATATAACCCCAATATAGCCCTAATATAACCCCAATATAACCCCAATATAACCTCGATTCAATTCCCAGCAGAGGCATGGTCCCAGTGCAGCCGGCCTCGGCTCCAATTGCGGCTTGACCGGAAGAATGGCTCAGGAGTTTTAGGCGGTCAGGGGTTCAGGGTTTAGGATGTAGGATTTGGGATGGTTTAGGGTTCAGGATTTAGGATTTAGGGTTTTGGGTTTAGGGCTCAGGAATTGAGGGGTTCAAGGCTCCATGAGCTGTGAGACTACAAATTTAGCTTTTCGGAATGTTCTCGATCCTGATCTTTTGGTTGTCCATGGCCCGTGACGGGCAGGCTTTACATAACATTTGTCAAAAGTATCAAGAGGAGCACGTGGCGGTTCCATTCCAGCGCTTTGAAGATACAGCTACCATCGCTCGAGCTAGTGAGTGCTTTTGTTGAGGTCGTAGCACCACCGGAGCATTTCGGCACTGCCCTGCTGCTCTCCGCTGAAAATGCCAGGGCCTTTGTTAAGAGCTTGTGGTGGCAGTTCAGCTTAGGCCTAAGTAGTACTTCTAGCTAGACTGGACCTATGCAAGAAGCTTTCGGTTTTTCTCTGCAAAAGTCACAAAGAGTTGGGGATGAAGCTCGGGGCTTTGGTGGTTGTTTTTAGCCATAACCCCGGAACCAAAGCTTCTTCCAGGCCCTCAAACCTGAAGCGTACTGCAGCCTCCTGGGATTGTAATCACGTATAACTGGGCATTTAACCCTACATAGAATCCACCTAACAAGCCCTATGCAGATAGCTGAAATGATACTTAGTGCTAAAAACCCAGTGATGACTTGCTGTTCAGTTCCATAAGTCCATAAGACTCCGAAAGGGAGCTGTCTGTGCGTTACATTCTCCATGTCATCAGCCGCCCTGAGGTGGTCCACAACAATCTTGGCGGCCAGGGACCTGACAAGGAGCGGATTTATATCTTTTGAAATCATGGAAGTTCTGTTTTTAGGAGAGAGAATTCAATTGCCGTGACGTCCTTCAATTTCTTTATGCATTCCTGGGATCAGAGAGGATGCAGCGGGCTCCCTAGAAGCTAAGTTAGGTTGTAGGCACTTTAAACAGGAATGAAGGAATGAATCCTTATAGCAGTCCCTATAGGTTCCCAGTAATACAGTAGTTTCTATTGTCTTTTCCTGCATTTTTTGCGAACCAGAGGCAAGTAAGGGTTTCAGCGAAGAGGTCGGACCTGCCACCTAGATGTCACACTGGCGTAGCTCGAGAAGCAGCCGAAATTCTGGAACTTAAAACCCTCTCATCTGAACCGGCTGTTAGCCCAAATCCCAACATAGACGAATTGTATGATCTTCATCTAACCTCAAGATGGTCTCAACATGGTCTGAACAGCGCTGCGGTACTGTTGACACGAAAATTCCTGCATGACCTTAGTCTACCCTGATACCATTATTCCCAAGGTGTGAGGCCCGTAGGGTCGGCATAATTTTTAGCTTCCACTGTAATGCATACGATCCTGCTCGTCATTGTGTCCGTACAACTCCCGTTATCGTCCCACTTAAGTAGATAGAATGTGGGATATAGGGGGATCTTATTGTATTATACCCAAAGCCACATTCTATCTACTTAAGGGGGATTGTAACCGCAATATCTCCCTATTGCAAGATAGTAGTTTCCATTTTCTTTTCCATTGTCCCGATATAACCCCAATCATGTACCCCACTTCCGGGGGATTATAGCCCCTGCATAATCCGCAGACGCGCTGTCAATAAAGGACTCGTTGGAGCTCCGGTTCAGCAGAGCTGGCGCTGTGGGCGGTCGTGCTGTGGACGTGGTGCCCTGGTGTAGCAATCCTGGCGTCGTGGGACCCCTTGAAGGATCCCAAAAATAGACCCCCCATACGAACCCACTACTACAGTGAGGAAACTAGGGGATTATTAGGAGGTTCCAATTTTTGGATCCTGTGGGGGGTCTGGGTAGTAGGGCAAGGGTTTGGGGTAATTGATGCTACCATCGTGTTCAGGGCTAGTGCCTGCGCTTGCGAATCAATTTCTTTAGCCTTTCCCGGTCTGTGGGCCACCGTCATGGTTGACGATGGGGCTTACAAGGTTTGGGGGTCAGGAGCGCTCAGGAAGTTTCAGAATTCCTGTGCATCATGCATGGCCCACTTCTGCGGGGCGCTACCCTCAGAGGGCAAACATGATAGCGTCCGTAGCAGTAACAAGAATCATTTAGGAGGACCCCCCTGGTAATAGTGACTATACAGGATAATAAGGACTATATTAGAGTCCTATTATATTCCTATTTATTATACCACTATTACAGGGTGGGGGTCCTCCTAAAGAATCATAATGAAACCCAACCATGCATAACAGGTAGTTAAAGTACTGCAAGGAGTAGCTCAGTGTTTGTTGCCCCCTGCGCAGGTGATGGAGGCGAAGGGTCCCTACCACGCGAAGAACCCAAAGCTCAATGGCCAGCTGGGACACCACTTCGGAGCAACCATCAACGCATCTCTGCTTGAAAAGTGCTTGGATGGCTACGTCTTGACCCAAGCCTTTCTGCTTGGGAGTTGCTCTCCCGGGTACGAAGGCATACCAGCTGTGCCAGATATACTGGTAAGTGATCACTAGCCAAAAGTTGAGCAGCTGGAAGCATCATTTTCGCATGTCTGGTTGATGAGGTGGCGTTGGGGAGTTCCGTGGATCTGCGCATCTCACTCGTGCGCTCCACGCAGGCCCACGCCGATGTTGTTGTGTCTTCCCAGCCATTGCTTAAGCTGCCGGCGGCGACAGAATCCTTCCAAACCCCGCCCCTGCATTCTGCAAGAGCACAACTGCTCTCAGGCTCTGGGTTTCTGTCCGTGTTTGACAGGGTTATTGCACGTCGCCGCAATAGTGACAGCACACATCTAGTCAAACCTTGCCCTGGGCAGCCTCGTATTTTGAAGATCATCATCTTACTGGGCTTTGCCGCCCAAGGATTTGCCAAGGATTGCTCACATGGGTTATAGTCTAAACTCCTTAAAGGGGGTTATATAGGGGATTATTATAGGGTAGAGGGGTTGTTAAGAGGAATACTGAGAGTTTAGACAATAGCTCACCTTTTGCCAGGGCGAGCTGCTGTCCGTCAAGGTGCCAGAACTCTACCTCAGCGTTTGTGATGCTGAGGCTCCAGCATGGTGGGGAGATTGCTGCTCCCCCCTACTAAATGGACGATTTAAGGGTTGCACGGGGATTATTTGGGGACAATACAGGGGTTATGTAGGGGATATTTCAGGTTCTATAGGGGTAATTTAGGGACCACCATAGCAAACACATTTCAAAATGCTCTGTGTGGGGAACATTTATGATGCGAACTAGCTGGGGGGATTGTTTACGGGAGATGATCTGTATTGTTCTTGCAGAGCTTCTGCAGGGCGATTTCTTGGATCCCACAGCGACTGCTTTTCTTCTACGATGATGCATGCGAGAATGCTAGGTGCGAAAAAAAAAAAAAAAACATGATGCTGTCGAGTATTGGTCATATCACCTGTAGGCCCTGAGGATCATTCATGCGCGATTGAAGCATAGGGGTGGAAGCCTTTTTTGAGCAGGAATTCTGAACTGTAACATGAAAATGAATGTAGTTTTGAGAGGTGCTTTTAACAGGCCCCTATCCCAACTCGCAGGTGCCCAAACTCTAGACTTAACCTGAATCCCAACATGTTACACCTGCGCACCGGGTCTCTAAAACCCGAAACTTCAGCCAATACTCCAAACCCCAAGTCAAAAACCCGGCACACTGAGCCCGCCTGGGAGGACTCTGTGGCACGCCTCACTGCGGCTTCAGAGGTCTCTGTATCCAACATCCAGGCAGGGCCGGTCACCAAGAGTTTGCAAGAAGTACCTGTAATAGTCAAAATCTTCAGGACTTAGGGTTTGGAGCTAAGGAGATATGATGGGAACAGGCTTCCAATGCTGAACATCCTGTTTCTATCCGGAATATTGTTCTGTAATCATGGGCCTCCAAGTTATGATGACTGCGTTGCTGAATGACAGAGCATGTCGGAAATGAGTCTAGTGTTTGCTGCTTGGGGCCCAGGAAAAGACTGGGAGTTCAAGGCGTTCAGGGAGTACTGTTAAATTTCAGTACATTCCCGCATGGACCTGGAAATGGGTGAAGGTTTTGGGGTCGGGGTTCGGCTTCTGCACGCATCACCAGGCGAGGACAAAGCCTGAGCAAACTCTTGACAAGAAGATGGGCGGCTGCAATTCTTTGAAAAATCAGAGCTGTTCAGAGGCTCGAAGATTTTAGGAGCTCAAAGTCCCAACGATTTGGAACGGAGAATACTCCAACGACTTCCACATGATTCCGCACAAGTCCTGTTTCGGAACATGAGGGTACAGAATTTCGTTCCGTCGCAATCCCCCTTTCAGCTAGCCCTACTTAGTGTCCCTGGTTAGGCTTTGGTTGTTGTATTATGTTTATTCCTGATTGAAGTTGACATTCCCAAGCCAGCGTATCATCCCCACCTCCACTACATAGCCCCAATATACTATAGTCGTTTCCATTTTCTTTTCCATTATCCCAAAATAACCCCAATATACTGTAGTAGTTTCCATTTGCTTTTCCATTATCCCAATATACGAAGCAATCTCCTTTTGCCAGGGCGCCTTCTGGCCTAACGGCACAGTCCTCCATGGTCCTACAGCGAAGGTGCTGCGTCAAAGGGTCTGCCGATGTTTTCCGCTTGGGTCGAAGGGTCCAATGTGCCTGCCAGTATTGCATTTGTGTTCAATGCATTTTGGGCAGCATGTCGTGACGTCATAGATGCTGCTGCAGAAATGAATCAGCGTGCACCAATTTTCTTCTTTAGGGCCCCTTCCGCAGAAATCATTTTGCAAAACAATGGAGATCTCGCTTTCCGCACGACTCCCTCTCGATCCCGCCTCAAATAGTCGCAATCGGGCCTCATGGAGGCCACGTCAAAATTTCTGCAGCCGGCAACTGAAGAAATCCTATAGCTTTGTTTCAGAAACCGCATAGTTTCAGATGACATTCTCTTGTGGTCCTCCGCGTGTCTCAGGGTCAGTCATTCCCATAACCTCCCAGGAGGTGCGCTACACCGCCCCGGCCGGGCCGGCGCCCATCTTCGCGTTTCGGGATGCATCCTCGATCCAGGCGAGACTCGAAGTATCTTTTTGAAAGGGGTTGGGGGGAATAAGGGAATAGAATCGGGTTATATGGGGGGAATGGAAAAGAAAGTCGAAACTACTATAGTACAGTAGGGTATATACTGGGCTTACTTATGTAGGGTCTTTTTGAGGCCTCCATAACTTGTGGACACCGACACAAGTGTCAGGTGATCTTGCGAGGCAGCTTTATGCGTGTTAGGTTGTCTAACCCAAGACGCTGCGTAGCTTAGCATGTTTCTTGATATGATTCCGTCTCCAACTGGCTCAACGAAGTCAAGCAGGTACGGTTTGCCCCATCCAAGCCAGTGTGCAGGGTTCCGTAAAGTCCCTGTTGCTTACCTTTGTTTCGCTAGGAATGAAGACATAGTAGTTTCCATTTTCTTTTCCATTCCTTCATTCCCAGCTAACCCAAGGTAAGGTAAAGTCCCTGTTGGCTTGAGGTTAGTTGGAGCCATCGAGCTGGAGGGCTTGTATAGGAACTCGAGCGATGCAAGCATGAGCCTTGTCGTGAGATATCCATACCTGGAGAAAGGTTGACTTCTTCTGAACTTCAGGGAAGACTGGAGCTGGATTCTGATTTGCATGGGCTATAGATTCACAGCTTGTCTGACACCTTGACACTTGCAACTATGCAGGTTACGCTCACGGCGGCTTCTGAAACAGGCCGGACGCTTGCGGGCTGATATGCGACGACTAGCTTGCGACTTCCGGGGTTTTGGTGTTCATCCAAAGCGGTCCAGGACCTCTGTGAAGGGTCCGTTTTTTCTGGTCGTGGAGAACACACACCAAGCTCCGAAGTCATCAGATGCTTCTAAAATCACAACCACCAAAGCCTCAAAGCCTCGGAGTCTCTAGTCTCCTTGTTGCTGCTCATCATGCTTGTGCAGTTGGTGTTGGCAAAGGTAGTCCTTCCTGTGAAAAGTCCAATTGTATTGTAAAGTTCTCTTTTGCCGCGTTTCAGTCTTGCAAGTATGTCGCCCCTGTTGATTTCCTGAAGATGACGACTTTCCCGCGCAGGCAGCGCCGCGGGAAGTGCCTGGGCCGGGCGCAACTTTCTCTTGTCGCTCCGCTCCCCGAATGTGACGCAGGTTGGCACGGTATTCCTACAAGGGTTTTCGGAAATTGGAGATAAACTATGGAGTTGTTTAGTGTATGCTTGTGAGAAGTGTGTACCGACCTTTGCCGGATCTTTGAGCATCATGACCTGCAGGTTTGGGATTTGCTGTCAAGTTGAGTAAGTCTGCTTTCATCGCGCAGTGGATAGTGGAGTGGGGCAATTCTTTTGCGAAACTTGTTGAGGACACTGCTTTACGGCATACATTGGCTCTAGTAAGAAGGCATGTGTGTCAAGTCTTGCGGGTACATGCCCCTGGAAGGGTCGCTCTTTGATTATTGTTAAGCCCAGCCCAGCAACCCCAATCCTTAATATTATTACTATTATGATTAATATTGGTATTATCATCCTGCAGGCATCCTCGAGCCGCGGTGCGGGCCCCAGAGCGGTTCCCCAAGATCTTTGTAATGCCTAGGGCTTAGGGTTTAGGGTTGAAGGTTAATCCCTATAGAATCCCATAATTCCTATATGATCCTTATAATTCCTATATAACCCCATAATTCCTGTAGGATCCTTGTACGCAGAGACCCCGTGTCTGGGGCTTCTTTGGGCCCATTTTTTTGCGGAAGTGCCACCTTAGCTAATACGTTTAGGCAGATTGAGAGTTGGAGCAGGTCCAGTTTCCAAGGGTTCTGCATTTATAGTCCCGCTTAAATAGATAGAATATGGCGTATATGAGGATCTTACGATAATATACCCAAAGCCATATTCTATCTACTGAAGGGGGACTATATGTTTCAGGTGTATGCGCATGAGATTGAGGGTTTGAGGCCTACAAGATCCAGCTTGTGGGTCCAGGCTTTGGGCTTAGGGCAGCTCACAAAATCTTGGGTGGGACTGCTGTGTTGGGGGCTTCTAACAGGCCAGAGGTCCCTGCTTCGGGTGCAGACAGCAGCCACGCGGGTCACAGCGCATTAGTTGGAGAGTCCTCAGTTTTAACCCCAACGTGTTTTGTGGGAGGTATGAGGAGCATCCTCAGCAGTGGTTTATGCATTCTGCGACAGTAGCTCTGCCGATTGGAGCCTCGCGCAATTCTATTGGGTTCGACATAATGCTGCCCACAAACATCCCAGAGTTTGCCTCATAAGGATCCTTAGCGTACCGTTGAGTCCTGCATGACCTTGTACACCTAAAACCCAGGCATATCCAGGCAGGATGGCAGTACAGCATACTGCTGGCAATGCAGGGTTTAGGGTTTAGGGTTTAGGCAGGGTTATGTCCATCAACCATACCTTCCTAGAATGCATTACATTGTGCGTCGCAGTGCTCGCCGTAATGCTGGCTATTATGCTTCGTATTGTTTGCCACAGTCCTATAATTTCCTCCTCTCTAACCCTAAACCCTGAACCCTAAACGCTAAACAGTGAGGAGAAAAGGTCCCACAAAAACAAACCTAAACAGTAAACCCTAAACCTCTGAGCACCCTGGCAGGCATGGGTCCACCCAAACCTGGATCTGCTGGAGTTGTGGCTCGCCAGCATTAATATTAATCATTAATAGTATCGATTATTAGTATCTACTAGTATCACTATTAATATTCGACTAATCTTACTATTACTACTATTTTCAATTTTACGATGTTGAAGAGGGGGGTGTAGGGGAATACTAGGAGTTTAGACTATAGCACGTACCCCAAAATATTTTTGCCATCAATATTAATACCCGCAAGCAGCCGACTAAACCCTGAACCCTAATCCCCCATTCTCTTGATTCCTTCTGGGATATGGGGCAATGCGGTAAGTGTTCAGAGCTTCTAAGGTTGGGTGTGTAGGTTTGGCTCTGACGGTTTCAAGGATGCTGGGCTAGCCTAGGTTGCTGTGAGGGAATTTTTAGTAATCACTCTGAGAAGGGGACCCTAGTATTCACTGTATACCCACATTATCAGTCACAGGTGAGGCCTTGCCGCCGAAGGCTATTTACATTGATACCACGATCCCAATTCATCCCTTTTCTTCATACCACTCTGATGGAGAGGACAGCATCTAGTGAGGTGTGGAAAGGCATGTTGTAGCAAGGCAGCTTGATCTTTCGAGGTTCTTAAGAGGTTCGGAGAGTTTACTAATTTACTGGAGCATTCTGGATCACCAAGGCCCCGGCGGTTTCAGCCCAGATGCACCAGTCCTTTCAGCTCAAGAAGACCAGTGCGAAGTGCTGAGTGCGATGTGCTTCATCGAGGGGTCGGAAGTTGAAGGAGGTGTGAAAGTTCATGTTTTCGGGCTAAAGTTTTTTATATCTTGCCGTAGGTCTGACTCGATTGTTGCTTAGAGTTTCATGCCCCGCATGTACTTTTGAATCATGAAGCCTTGAAGTGTAGGTTTTGGGTTGAGGCTTCCAGGCGGTTCGGACATGAAGGCCGGTTCCTGTTGGTTCAACCTCCTAACATGGCTGAAGAGCTTTGAAGAAACTCCAACCTTGCTTGGCCATGCCCTGAATCACCTCACGGCTACGATGGTTGGTTTAGGCATTGTAGGAGTTGCCTGCGGTGGAGTTGGCTTGAGCCCAGAATCCCCAAGCTCAACAGCCTGATATCGGCCCTTTGCTGCTCGTTATCAGCCGCAGGTTACGTACAGAACTCGTTCTCCGGATGCCGACTTCTTTTCTCCCTGCATACCCTGAACTTGAAACCGTGGAACACGCCAGAAGTGGAGGTCGTTTACAACAACCTCGGGGGTCATGGGCCAGGCCACCTCGAGGACCTCCGGAGCCGAAGTCCAAAATCATCCTTTTCGCGTTGAAGGGCTGTTGGGAGGTTTTTTTGGGGATGAAGAGTTTTGGCTGCGATGCCAGACTGTGCAGTACCTGTGGCGAACGGGTCGCCGCAGACATAACGATCTTTGTACAGCCGCACAGCATGTCATACTGGTCATACATGAGCCTTCTTAGCAGCATTTCTGCTTTCTTGTCTGCATCGGAGGGTTCGACACGAGGTGCAGTGACACAGTGCCCTGCTTTCTTTTGTCCTGTACCGAAGTATGATGGCTACGCAGTTTGCCACCTGGCCAGTTGAAATTTCTCACTCACACGACTCCCTATCCCTTGCCTAAAGCTTGGGAGCTCCACACCCTGCCTCCAACGTCCCGAAGCCTTCCGCCCGGAATTATCCATCTTTGACTCACAGAATTCCCATGTTGTGCCAGCGCACTCTAAACTCTAAGCCCTAAACCCGAAGGGAGCTGGGGACTTGTGGTAGTGGCTGCGAGCATGATTCAGTGCTTGGCAACGATTGCCTCGGACTTCGCTACGATGCTTCAGATTGTGTCCATTGACATGAACAGTGACGCTCACATGAATGAGATCGGACCTTTGCCAGGTGAGCCGGTGCCTGAAGCAGGTGCGGGAGATCGAGAGGACCGTGCACCAGCTGATGAAGAGGACCAACAGGCTTGCACATTGGCTTCATCTGGGAGACCGCCTCGACGACGCCGAGTACCCCGTGGAGGCGAGCCGATGGACTTCAGCGGACGAGGCAAGAACATGCCAGTAGCGAAGCCAAAGCCACGGCCCAAGAGCAGGCCAAGTGTCGCCGGAGACAACAAAAAACGGAGTGTGCTACCAAAAGCTATCGCGCACGCGCCGTGGCGCACCAAGATTGCTAGACAGCGATGGCTAGTCAAAAAGAACCACGAGAAATCATGGCCCAGGACGAGGAGCTCCACGGCAAGAGCATCTACATGGGTGGCCGATGATGATGATGAGGAAGTAATTGACTGTGAGGACATGGGTGAAGAGGCCGGGACGAAAGACAGCGGCATGGCGGAAGAGGAGGCTGAAAATGAGGTCCCAGCAGATGTGCCCTCGCGGGAAAACGACACGGAGACCCATGTTGAGGTAGAGATGGATGATGAAGAATGGCAAGAACTGGATGAGGAATATGAAGAAGAAGGAGATGGAGAAGGAAATGGAGATGAAGAGTATGACGAAACCCAGCTTATGCAACAGGACCACCAACCCAACGGGAAGCAGCTGGGCATGTTGGACAAGGTACAGATGGAAGAGTTCGGTGAAATGTTCAAAAGACACTATTCCAGCATGATCAACCCCACCATTGAGAAGCCTGTTCGAATGGCCTTGATTAGGGGAACGAAGAGCAAGCTACCTGGAATCAGGAAAATCTCCAAGGCTCTCCTGGCACATGTCAGCTCGCTGAAGCTAGTGGAGTCCGGGAATATGACGCCCCCGTGGTGGAGAACACTCTGGTCCAGAGTTCGCACTGCAGTTCGAAGGGCCGGCAAAATATGCCATGACATCGAGGGAGATGAAACGATGCTCATGCAATACATGCAGCGCATCCCAGCCTTTGCGGAGTTCAAAAATGGGGACAGATTCTGGGTTGCCAGAATGCTCCAAAAGGAGCTTGAGCTTCTGCAAAGCCTACAGAAAGGGATAGGAGTAAAAATCAGACAACTCCTTCAACGGCTGCAAGAATTGGAAGGCCAACTACACCATGGAGTACGTGACCTTGTGGACATGCTTCGTGCGGTGGCTGTCTCCTTCCAAAATGATGACATTGATGAAAGCAGGCCAGATGAAGTTGATAGTTGGGTTGAAGCCTGGATGGGAAGAATCCGGAAATGGATTGCCATGGAAATGAACAACATTGATGGAGTTGTGGTGGTTGAGGACTCGATGGAAGCCGCGGTTGAAGAAGGAGCCAGGATTGAGTCCGCCTTCGTGGAAATGGTGGTGGACCTACAGAAGCGCTTGAGTAAACTGGCCGGTGAAGAGGAAAAGAACAGAATGGCAAGGTCAGCGGCCATGGCACAACAGTGGGATGACTGGGCAGTCTCCAATGCTATGGGCCAGTGCCACAGTCCCAAGCGCCAAAGGACAGTGGGAACGCAGGTGGATGACCAAGCGATTGCACATGCAGTAGCTGAAGTCCAACAAGCCGAGATCGACAAGGAGATCCTACCCAATGAACGGTGGCAAGCACAAATGCGAGTGCAGATGACCATGACAGAGTCCAGGCGGAAGAAAATGCGGAGCTGAAGGAAGGCAACGGTCTACCTGTTGACGTGCGGAGTGAAGAACAACTACCTATGCAGATTGCGAGCACCGCCATGGACGTTCCGGACAGCTACGATGGCAACTATTTGGACTACAGTACCTGAATGGAGGGATAGGTGCTGTGCATGGAAGTGATGGATGCGGTGATGTACATGGTGGACAGGAAGGATGTGAAGCTCAGGGAACAGATGAAGGACACGGAAGCGCACCTACACAACAGCAAGTACCTCTACCTAATGAGCAGGATGATGTAGTTTTAGGCCATAGGCCAGCCGGAGGCGTCAAGCCAAGCTGAAGTGTCTGATATGGATGCTGAGGCCAAGCCGTGATGTGTACGAGTGGATCTACAATCCAAGGGGGAGGTCTAGACTACGCCAGCGATGACATTTTCCTCCCCAGCAATTGCTAGCATCAGAAAAGGTGCGAGGGGTTGGCAAAAAAAACCTTAAACCATAAACCCTAAACATCGTTCATACCCAGATTCCTGCATGACTTTCTTATACTTGAATTTTTTAGTTCCCAATATATCAGGTACTTATGGGCATGCAAGAACTTTAGTAGTATCCAACGTATTGTTCCTAAGATGCTGGAAGGAGCCTCCAGTCCTTCGGGCACCGCGTGTGGCGCAGCAGGGAGACGCGACTCTGGATCTGGTGGCTTGTAAGAAGAGGTTCAGGCGTATAGTTGATAGTTCCCCTTAAGTACATTGTAGTATATTTGGGGTTATATCAGGATAATGGAAAAGAAAATGGAAACTACTATTTAGGGTTTAGGGTTTGGGGTATAGTCCCCCTTAAGTAGATAGAATATGGGGTATATGGCGATGTTGTTATAAAATGCCCAAAGCCCAAAGCCATATTCTATCTACTTAAGGGGGACTATAGGGCTTCAGGGTTCAGAGATTAGCTGTTTCAGGAAGGAACTATTGGCATCTTGAACGCATGTTTTTGTTTCTGCTTATGACAATCCCGAAGGGCAGCTACAACTCTATCGTTTACCAGAACTCCACCGCAGGTATGGCAAAGCACAATCACATACGGATGGCCCCGAATCATGAGCCAGTGTGCGGGGTTTATACAGTTAGGAGGCTTTACTTTGGCCACTATACTCTGGGGTCGAAAAATGGAGATTTGATTGTCAAAAAAAGATTCAGTGAAGTTCTTACCGACCTGCACTGGAAGGTCGTCCCACACGCGCAGATGCTACCTTCAAATCCCTAAGCCTATTTTGAGGTACCGTGGAGTAGGCTCACCCATCGGTACCCCTGGAGCTCCCCATAAAGTAGACCTCACATAGTGCAAATATGTGCAAATGATCCGAGGCCAAGAGCCTGGCACCGCAAGTCTCTAACTTTCAATGATGCCGAATTCCTGTCTTGCCAATATGTGTCAGACGTGGGTCAGTGAAGCGCTCGGCCTTTGACCTCAAGTTGGATACCTGAACATTTGCATCCCACTTTGGGCTGTGCTTTTTGAGGACAGCAGGCCATTCTTGGGTACTCGAAGAAATCCCTTATTGCGAGAGGATTCATTATCACAAGTGTGAGTATTATTGCCACCATTGTTATTATGGCATGATGCCCCGAACCCTCAGCTCTAAACTCCCACCATCAATCTTCAAACCCCAAGCCGAAGCACCCGACATCCAAAAACCCCTAAGTTTTATACCTAAGCTTAAGGCCGTAACCGTAAACCCCAAGCCTTAAAGTCTAGACTCGACCCCTATGAACCTGAATCCCCCAACTTAAAAAAAAAAACAAAAAACATCCAAACCTTCCCGATCATCCCTTTGTGCCTCTTCTATAACTTTACTATGTAACTCTTAAATTCCCTATGTAAACTCATAAACTCTCAAATCAACCCCTATTCAATCCCAATATGACTCTGTACAATCGCTACAGAATCCTTCTATAATCGTTATCATCATCCCTTTATATTCTTTGATTTCTCTAAACCCTAAACCCCAAACCCTGTACCCTAAACCCTGTACCCTCGACCCTAAACCCTGTACCCTAAATCCTAAAACCTGTACCCTAAACCCTAAACCCTGTACCCTAAACCCTAAACCCTAGGTGGTGCAGACCTTGGGGCCCTACTCGCCCGCAGCAGTGGATAACAACGGCTTCGATGGCATGTCCACAGCCTCTGTGAGCGCAGCTTGGGTTATATTGGGGTTATAGAGGGTTAGGGTTTTGGTTTTAGGGTTTAGGGTTGAGGTCATATTGGGATAATGGAAAATCAAATGGAAACTACTATTTAGGGTGATATAAGGATAATACTATGTAGGGTAATATAGGGGTTATATACCGGTCGTACAGGCATTTCAGAGGAATTTTACGAGGTAATATATGGGTGGTATATTATAGGGAGTATATTATATAGGGTTAGGGGATATTACCCCAATAGTGGAGAATAAAATGCGGCGCATGAACAAATGAAATGGAACTCGGAGTAGGCTTATATGGATTATGATGGTAGGTTGTCAAAATTCTGGTCCCTTTTGTGGCCCTTTGTATGAAAGACATGACCGCTTGTAAACAGCATGCGCAAAAAGCGATCATGATTTTGACAACCTTTCACATCTGGTTTCCACGGTTTTCTAAGGGCGGGTGTAGGGCTTTAGTATTTGGGTTCAGGGGATGAGTGTTTCCCAAAGGTTTACACTTTAAGGTGGAAATCGAGGGTTTTAGAGTAGGGGGTTTCTCAAAGCTGGAGGGGTTGCTACTAGGGCCAAGGTTTGTATGCGTGTTATGTTTAGTTGCTGCAATAACTTGGTTTAGATATGTTGCGTTCTGATAAGAACGCAAACTAATCGGAGTACCGTTGTTTTGTTTTACACGCTGTGCTCATGGTTGGTATGAAAGTCCCCCATATCCTCCTTTTGGGTATGGCATGTCTTACGAAGCATTTAAGCTTATTTGGTTCACTCACAAGGACACACTACTCACATGTGAGCTCATCCTGAAATCCTCGTGGAACACATTTGAGTAGTATTTCATTTGGGGATACTATGGTACCCATTATAGAGTAAGATTCTATCCTCCTTTTGGGGTACAGTATTTTATATAAGGAATATTATCTTACTAGGCTCAACCACCCAAAAAACACTACTCAAGTACCCAATTACTGGGTACATGGACCCTAAACCCTAAACCCTAAATACCCTAAACCCTATATATCCCTATAATGCCTTTATAGCTCCCCTTGAAGGGGGACCTAATACTCATTTGGTGGGAGATGGAAATCAGGTCGCCCGAGGCACCTCGGTGGACCTTCAGCTGAAGCTGGTGAAGGAGAGGGAGGCGCCAACAATGCTCGGTTTAGGGTTTAGGGTTTAGGGTTTAGGGTTTAGGGTTGGGGTTATATAGGGATAATGGAAAAGAAAATGGAAACTACTATTTAGGGTTTAGGGTTGGGGTTATATAGGGATAATGGAAAAGAAAATGCAAGCTACTATTTAGTCACCAACAGAAGTTGATACTGAAACTCCTGCAGGGCCTTAGTATGTTATATTGTCATGTGTCTGAAGGCATATGGTACTTAGGGTTATACAGGCTTTTTGATATCAAGCGTATTAAGCACCCATTCCATTCATAATATGGACCACGTCCCCCAAAATCTTACGCTTGGGTGTAGCAACAGCAGTATAACAACTATGTTGTTGGGTGGATGTTAGCAATGTTTATGGAGACGGGGCTGCTCATCTGTTGGGCCAAAGGAGAAGCCCATGGTGGGCCTATGACTGACTACAATAAGACATTGAAGATGGATGAGGATTAGGGACAATGGAAAAGAAGATGGAAACTACTATAGTTTACATTGGGTTACATAGGGTTGAGGGAATAGAAAATGAGAACTACTATAGTGCATATTGGGTTATATCGGGAAGATGGAAAAGAAAATGGAAACTACTGTTGAAGTTCCTGTTGTTTCTCCCTCGACATCTCTCGGCATGGAAGCGCTCTGGAGTTTTTTCTCAGCCAAAAGCTCCATTTCTTGGTGCCCTTCAAATAAGTGACTGAATGATTTTGAGGTGTATGCAATGGCTGGACCTTAAACCCTACATCCCTAACCCCTAGACGATAAATCCCTAGATCCCGAAACCCTAAACTCTAGATCCCTAAATCCCTAACGCTAAATCCCTAAACGCTAAATCCCTAAACCCTAAATCCCTGAATCCCTAATCCCTAAATCCCTAGATCCCTAAATCCCTAAACCCTAAATCCCTAAACCCCAAATCCCTAAATCCCTAAATCCCTAAAACCTAAATCCCTAAATCCCTAGATTCCTCAACCCTCAACCCTAAATTCCTCAAATCCCGAAGTCCCTAAGCCCCTAAATCGAAGCTGGGTGACCAGGACGGCATGGGCGATGAAACAATCTCGGTGCCGCGCTTGCTCCTCTCAGTCTTTGACATCCAGGACGGCTTTAAAGTACTTCTACAGGATTTAGGGTTTAGGCGTTAGGGTTTAGGGGTCTAAACTCCTTAAAGGGGTCATGTAGGGGATCATATAGAGGATTATTTAGGAAAGCATTTTAGGGCATTAAGGGAGATACTAGGAGTTTAGACTATAGCTCATGGGAGGGTTTCCGTATATAAGGAGGCCAAGTATAGACCCCAATATGGTATGGTCCCTATGATAATACGGGCTCCTCAAAACGGTCCAAAGTGCTGGAAGCCGCATATTGCATCTCACATACTGGACAGTCCTCGAAAGAAGAGTAATGTACGCAGCCCGATGCAGTCTTCAAAACTCAACCTAGCTGGACACCAACAGTGGCTTCCGGAATCTTGCACCAGTTAGGATCCCCAAAAATACTGCGATTCCCAGCATGTAGGGTAGGTGGGGTGGTGCAAGATTCCCGCTATCCACAGTAGGTTGTAGATAGTCCAGGGGACTACGCAGAAAGGGCTTCCTTGGACGAGGTCTGGTTGGTTTAGGGTTTAGGGTTTGGTTTCGGGAGTCTTTGGTCCTTGTTTGGGATCCATGAGCTCAGGACTTGAGGGTGCACAATCTGATGTCTGGTCCCTTGCGACCTGAAGCAGCCCAGCTTGTAGTCATGACTATTTACCATATGAGCTACAGTCCAAACTCCTTAAAGCGGGGTTATATGGGGGATTATATAGGGGACTACTATAGGGGATATTAAGGGATACTAGGAGTTTAGACTATGGCTCATATATTGCATCATATTTTATAAGTTAGTTCAATATAGCCCACTATAGTACAATATACTATAAGATATGGTATAGTACAGAAATCATATACAATCGTGAATCCTGAAGATGGGCCCACCGTTTGCTTGAGACGCTGCATCTGGAAGCAACTCGGAGGACCCACTATCGCTGGCAGCCTCTGACGAGGCCAAGTGCCAGGTTGTTCATGAAACGAATGGGCATAGTATATTGTAGAAAACTGAGAGCATATCATGTTACAGCATTTTCTATATAGTGCGATATAGAATAATACGACTGGCTTCTGTACCACACTGTTCCCCATTGAACTGAGTCCACTTCCGTACACCGCTGAGAGGCGATCAAGACCTAAACCCTATAACTGGTGGCCCCCATGAGCCACAACCCAAAAAACGCACGCCCCTGAGCCTAGCGCAGGCAAGTCATGCCATTCCTTCATCAGCATCACCGCCGCAGTCGAACTCACGGCACGGCCGTCACCGCTACTAGCTCCATCGCCAGTGATAGCAGTTTGAATAGCACTCCTTCGAATCATTGTCATCGTCATGACAATCGCAGTGCTTTGGTGGAGGTGGAGGCAAGTACCACTGAATCCAAAGCACTTGGCGCAGGTGGTTGCTGCTGGATTCGAGGCAGAAGGGACGTTTCCGATGTTGGGCTTTAGGAGTTTGCTTGATGCTTGTTGGGTGTGGTATCTGGCGTCAGAGTGGAGTTGAGGCGTGGAGGTTAGTCGAATGACCGTTGCTGTAGTTTTTTTTTCGGATAGAGGGAAATTGTTCATGAGGGCTAGTAAGGTCTTAAGTCTTGTGTGTTGAGATTGCGGATTTCACTTCCAAGGTTGACCACTGAAGGACTAGAGATCGGTCCTCTCACAGCAAGAGCTTGTGAGACATTTAGTGATGTGTTAGGTGTGTGTATTGGGAGATCTTGGAACTGCTGCCTGCCTGAGGCATTTTGAAGGCCAATGAGTGTTGCATACAGTTCAGAACTCATAACGCAAGAGCTTGCTCGGTGTCCCATGGTTTTCTCGCGAGGCCGTGTTCTTCCCAAATGAGACAGTGCGCTGGGGCAAGGACCTACTTCGACGTTCGGAGGCTATGATCCCGGCAGACCTAACGTGGTAAGTTCTGGGGCTCTATGACTGGACCAAGAAGAAGCGCCGTTGATGGAAGACGAAACGTCTAACTTTCTGGATAGTACGTGTAATTATGGAAGAGATAAACGTAGCAGCCCAAGGACCAGTTATAGGTTTTGTGTAAAAACAGTATCAATATTGATAGTAATAGTTTTTACGCCAGCAGCACGAAGCATACCCACGGTGTTTTGATAGCGTATGACTTGTCCAGGGGGCTTTGGAAGACCTATGCTGGACGCTCAAAATACTGCATGAGCTTACTATACTATCATATCATAATTCGCGAGGTATCAAGTACTCAGAGTCTTGCAGGATTGTCAGTATCAACCGTAGGATAGGGGGTGTTCATGTGGCTGTGAGCGCTGCTTCTCCTTTAACTTACGTTGTTTCCTCTGTCTCGCTACTGCTGGTAAACGGAGCTAAGCCAACACACACACACACACACACTCAACACTGCTATTGTGCTTTTTCTATTGTCGAGCCGCTACTGGTCTCCTGCATGTGATGAACTCATTTTGTCTTTTTATCCCAGACGCTTCTGTGAATCAAATTCAAACTTCGAACATGGAAAACTATAGTAGCCCTGTTTAGAGCAGTAATGAAAGCTATTCCAGTGATACGAATGATATGAAACCCATCAACAACATGCCAGTCTGAAGCGCAGCGAATAGTTTGCCAATGTAAAAGAAATGGTTAGAAGTTAGAAGTACAACTGCCCTATGTAGAATTATAGATAGAAGTACAAGTAGAAGAGTAGAACTAGAACACAAGTAGAGGTAGAGGTTGAAGCAGTGGCACTAGTAGTAGTGCTACTTCTTCTGCTTCTGCTGCTCTAACAACCAACACCACCGCCACCGCCGCCGCCGCGACTACGACTACCACTACTACTACTACTACTACTACTACTAGTACTGCTGCTGCTGCTGCCGCGGCTGCTGCTGCTGCTACTACTGCTACTACTACTACTACTACTACTACTACTACTACCAGTACCATTACTATTCCTAGTGCTTGCCGGACGACAGCAACAACACGAATCCTGTGTCAGGCCATGCTTAGCTGTAGGTCGCACTACGTTCGACATAGTCTAAACTCCTTAAAGGGGTTTTATAGGGGACTATGTAGGGGAGTTTTATAGGGGTTCTTAAGGGGTATACTAGGAGTTTACACTATATCCCCTATATTCCCTTATTTAATCCCAGTTTCCATTTAATTTTCCATGTTCTTTTCCATTTGATTCTCCATTCCATATAAGGGGTTATTAAAGGGTATACTAGGAGTTTAGACCATAGTTCACATGCAGGCATGGAGCTGTCCTGCCGGAGACGCGCCCAACTTCGTGTTCCGGTCCCAACCCGCCGTCAACGTCACCCTGCGAGCTCTTGGTGCAGGCTCGGGATACACGGTAGCTTCCCACAATAGCGGGACCCCAATATAGACCCCAATATACTATAATCCTTATTATAGGGACCCCCAGAAGGGTACTCCTAATTATGGGCAACCCCCACATGCTTTATTCATGCTGGGGTGCAGCTCGGTCGGAGTCGAGAATGATTGGTTCTCTCCCGCGTCTACTTTGCCTGCGATACTATTGTTACTATTCAGTATTGCTGTTATTGTCATTGTTGTTATTTTCAGACCTCATGCTGGGACGACGCCTGAGGCCATCGTCGGAACAGCAGCTACCCTTCACAAGCTTTGTTTCATCATAAGTAGATAATACAGTAGGCTCCACTTTCTTTTCCATTCCCTTATACATGCCCCTGTAGAACCTCATCTGCAATACACCCCTGAACCGCGTGCAGATCGAACATTCTTCCTGACTATCCACTCTCCGGACCTGAAGGCCGGCAACGCTGTCGCGCAAGCTTGATGGGGTTCAGGGTTTCTCTAAAGATCCAAGTATACAAATAACACCTACATTGGGCCCTAAAGTCTGTAAAAATTACATACACTGGGCTGTTTGGATCCCAGGGTTTTTAACATTTAACCGAGTTGCTGCGAAGACTGCTCAGAGCTTTTTTCAACAGGCGCAACGGTCTGGCGCAGGCGAAATGCGGCCAGAAGCCTTTCGGTATACTAGCGTCGTCCAGTGTCATTTCAGTGAAGGGCTTAGAAAGAAGAAGTTGGGCAGCTGGCAATGACAAAATGAGATCTGAATGACAGAACGTGTTCAGAGTCCAATGCTTTGAAAGGGTTGAGGACTGTGGTTTGCAGTTTCGGTTCGCGCGCCGAGAGAATAACCATGCACCAGAGACTAAAAATGGGCAGCTGCAGGCGGCAGAGAAGGTTCAAAACAATCCACGCAGAGGGACGTCCTACGTGGCAGTTGAACTTCTAGAAAAAGTGCGCTCCTGCGCAATGTTGATAGTAACGCAGCAGCATCTTCTGGCTCAGCCAGTAGTGCTTAGGCTCCTTGACCGGTGGAGCTTTGCCGGCGGCAAATCGTCAGAATGGCCAGACAGCTTGTTTGGTCTGATTAGTATTAGCTATAACACTAGTGTTCATAGGAGTTTTTGATATTAGTATTCGTATGATGCGCAGTACTTGTATGTGTATTCGTACTTATATTGCGGAGTTTGCTGTTCACCATGGTGCTGGCCCTAGCAGATTACAGCGGAGAAGACTGACATCCGATGCGTATGCCTTGAAGCGCATTAGGTTATACCACGTTCGGGGATGTACTGGGTTTAACACGACGGATAGCAAAGCTCGCAGCAGCAAAGCAACACCACCAGCGATGCATAGAATTTTGAAGAAATGGAAACTTCTGAGCAAATCAGAAGGAGAGCAAAAAAAACAATCACCACGAGCAAGCGAGTTCCTGTACCATTCCGACAGTGATAACCCTTACAGACGATTCCTAATCCGAATGTAGCTGCCGGAATATTCTGCAAGATTATCTCGTCTCAATCCGTATCGGTATACGGTATACAGCATCCCAAATCCCTGATCCATTTTCAGGTCCCTACATACAATCCCAATACTAGATCCTCAAAAACAACATATGCTTGCAATTTCCATGTCATTGTCCATTTCATTTTCAAATACTCGTCCATTTCAGTTTCCATTGTTCTAATTGTCACGGCCCCTACACCTTCAACCCTCAGTCCTAAAGCCTTAAACCCTAAACCCTAATCCTTAAACCCTAAAGCCTCAATCGTCAACACCAAGCCCTAAACCCTACTCCCTAAACCCCCAACCGTAAGCCCTGCACCCTAAAAAGCCTAAGCCAAAACCCCTACACCTCGACCCTGACGGGTTAATAGGTTTAGGGTTTAGGTTTGTAGGGTTTAAGGTTTTAGGGCTTTAAGGTTTTGGGATTCTAGGTTTTAAGGTTTTAGGGCTTGGGGTTTAGGACTCGGGGTTTAAGATTTTACAGTTTAGATTTAGGGACCCGCAAGCCTTATTCCAATTATGTGAGCTATAGTCTAAGCTCCATAAAGGAGGGCTATATAGGGGATTATATCACCCCCTTTATATAGTGTTTGGGGTTAAGGGGTCTAAACTCCTTGAAGGGGGTTTACATAGGGGATTATATAGGGGAGTATTGTAGGTGTCATTAAGGGGGATACTAGGAGTTTAGACTGTAGCTCATGTAGGGCTGCCTCCATGGATCACCAGCTGCAGGCGGCACCCAAGCAGAAGCTGCAGAAACAGATGGTTTCAGGCTGTGGGGAGTGGGCTTAGGGGGTCTAAGGTTTAGGGATTAGGGAGTGGTGCTTCGTTTTTAGGATTGGGGCTTGGTTCAAGATTTATGGCTTAGATGGCCGAGGGTTGGAGGTGTAGGGATTGAGTTTCAGGGAATCACCGACATACTTGACGAGGAATTTTCTTCGAACAAGTAGGCACCTTCTCGCAAGACCAGATGATTTCAGGGAAGTATATTAGCCATAGTCTAAACTCCTTAAACGGGGGTTACATAAGGGATTATACAGGGGACTACTATAAGGGCTATCAAGGGGGATACTAGGAGTTTAGACTATAGCTCATATACTGGTCAGACCCCATGAGAGCCAACATCGTTTTAGAAGGCAGCAGATGCTTGTCATAGAGAGCAGGGACAGCAACAATGGTTAGAACGATGTTTATGGTACGTAGCAATTGATCTTAGCAATAGCTTCCTGACATATTCGAAGCCAACAAGGCTGGCAAGTCTTGCTTTTGATGTCTGGTCCTGACAAAGACTGAAGAATGGAGAATCAAGTGGAAAAGAACATGGAACATGATATGTAAACTCGGGTTTACTGTGTGTGTATATCTATATATATGAATATATGAATATATATATATACATAGACAGAGGGCAGGAGATCACGTTTACGGTGTTGGTCAAGCAGCGTTTGCGCAACCTTTGATGAGGAGGATCTGCAACATCCGGGTGTCAAAGGCTGTGGCTCCCCAGAGATATCCTATGACACAAGCAAAGGCTTTGAGACCTTCGAAGGTTTTTTTTCAATGCGGATTCATGTTAGATTCAAGTTAGCGGCTCCATGCCAACCTTTTGATTTCAACTGCACACCAGCATGCCATGACTGGGGGTTCTGCTGCATGTGCTGCTACCGCCGCTTCAGCCATTCAAAGAATTCAGCAGAATTGGCACAGCCCCTATGACAAGCCTTGCAATCAGTATCGCCACTTAGCCCGAAGCCCGATACGTGCCGCAATTTCTGTTGTGAGTGCCAATTGACCGTGATGCTTCGTTGCCAGGAGCACCTGGAGATTGGGAGGCGCAGACCGGTTCAGGTGAACCTATAGACATATTTGCTTTATTCAAACCGGCGGGGTACTATTCACAATCTATGGGATGTGAGGAGCGTCTACGGAGAATACGGGGATTTCCAGGCGACACTCCTAAACGCTTAAGCCTAAACCCCAAAACCCTTAGGCCCTAAACCTGCAAACCCCAAAGCCTAAACACCAGATCTGGCTGAGATTTGGAGAGTTGAGGTGGAGTTCCTGAGAGCTAGGATTCCTTCCATCGAGAACCTAGCAGTATTGGAGTCCATTTCAGTCCAACAAGCTATCCATGTCTTTCCAGCTTGATGTGGTAGTTTATATACTGGTAGTTGCAAGACAGAGTCATTCATGCGCGAAAACAATTTAGAGCATGGCCCGACAAAGATCCTTCAATATGGAAGTTCTTCAAAATCATCCCTTCTACATAGCGTACCCCTCTCTTGGAGAAATTCCCACGTGTCCAAAATCGTTTGTGTAGTATAGCGGCTTAAAGGCAGAAGTTAGCCCTCTAATTTTCGCCGCAAAGCGAAGCTGCTGCCTCCGGCATCTTGCGGCCACTATGGAATGCTGCAGAGCGGGTAACAGGTTGACCCCGCTGGAGCAGCAAATAAGGGCGCTTAACTTGGAGGATGTGGGCATCGATGACAGCTGCTGAGCAAGTTGGTCCTCTTTCGGTTTTTGGTTTGGAACGCATCACTAGCTTGCTTCGTCTCCAGCAGTAGACAGTCTCAGGCACCCTGGGGGCTACCATGCAATTTCCCATGTTCGTGGTCTCCGTGCAGCAGTTGCTGAAGATGACGGAGGTTCGGCCACACGAGATCTTGAAGGACGAGGGCATTGCCGTCGAGTATGAGGAAAGCATGGGTAAAGCCGCTTTCATCTCGCACGAGTGGGTTGGTGATGGGCACCCCGACCCTGAATTCAAACAATTGAGCGTTTTTCAGGATGCTTTGACTTACATGATGTCTGACTTAGAGCAAATCCCCGCCGACGTCTACACAGAAGTCCACTGCAAGAAAAAGCCGGTTTCTACGTCGGCTTTCCGAACGCAAGCTCTGTGTGTGTGGTACGATTATTTCTGCTGCCCACAGCTTGGCCGTCAGCCATCTCTCTCACATTCAGACAGCGACCTATCCATGGCTGTTACCAGCATCCCCGCATATGTGGCGAAGTGCTCGTTTTTCTTTGCACTCTGCCCTGTCATTGTGAGCGAGGAGCTGGGGAGGGTCTTTTCTCCTCAGACATGGGCAGAGCGGGGATGGTGTCGCATGGCATCTGGACTGTTTTCATTGAGGTTGTTCCTTAATCTTACTGGTAATCTCTTGGAAGGACTGGCTTGCTCAGATTTTCGTATGGGTTCCGAGAGCAGCCTAGGAAAGAACGTTCCACGATCTTTCGAAGAACGACGGCTGGTTCATGATCAAGAGCTGTGCAGAAATCGAACTCGTGGCGTCCTTCGGCGGCACCGTTGGGGGAGCGCCTGGTTCTGGCAAATTTACGGTAGGCAGTGATCGCAGGACCTTGGCACCAGTCTTGAGCGGTGCGGTGAAGCAGAAGCTGCTTTCCTTGCTGAAATCTCTCAACCTCCGAGAATACCGAATCTGGGGTAGGTATGGCAATTGTTGCGCCTTTTGCATGTGTCCCAATGTGATTGGGTAGGATTAGTTGAAGAAGGGTTACGGAGCGAAACCCGAGACTGCCAGAGATTGCATTTGTTCAGTTGTTATCAGATAGAGAACCCCCGTATACCCTCTAAGAACGAAACGTGCTTCTGAGTTTGCTAAGCGGCATCGAGGGTACTTCAGCTGCTTCAAAATAACTTGTATTTTTAATTCTCTAAACCTGAGCAAGGAGTTTTGCTGAACATGCAGGAAATTCTTATGAAAGATCTCCCAGCGCAAGAGTTGGCTGAGCCACGTCCCGGCTTCTCATCTGCGAAAGGCTTAGATGAGGAGTCTCTTGCAGTGTCTGCTTTCATGTATCAGAATGGCTTCGAGCTGGTAGAGGAGGTTGACGATGCCGGATGGTCGCCCCTACATTATGCTTCCCTGGCCGGCAAGACACTGGTGGTGCAAGGTTTGCTAGCACAGCGGGCGAACCTTGACTGCCAGACGCAGCATGAACAACCTCGAGTGGGAATTGCTCCAGGGACGACTGCCCTGAGCATATCCATGTTTTCTCATCACAATGACGTTGCGAAGTTGTTGATTGCTGCAAAGGCTACAATTGACTCAGGCTTAGCTCCTCCCTTGCATTTCGCTGCCCACGCAAACAACGCAGAAGGCATTCGCATCCTTCTGGATGCTGGCTCTGACCCTTGTACCAGGGACTTCCTGGGCCTTCATGCCTTGGCAGCAGGTTGCTCATTTGGATCACTGGATGCAATCGATGAGCTGGTTTCCCGAGCGCGCATGTCCATCAAGCCTTCAGACCTCTCGACTGCCCTCTCATTTGCTTTGGTTGCCTACGGAGGCACAGTGGACTTGGTGCACCGGATGCTGGATTTGCAGGCTGATGTCAACGACTCCTGGAGCGTGCCACTGGTGCCGACCTGCGTCTATCAAATCGTGCAGGCCATCAGCACCCTTGAACATCAGCTGGGAAGTGACACACTTTGGACACGATTCCATTGTCATGCACCTCTGCATTTGCCGAGAAATCTTTCGCAATTGTTTGATTGCACGTATGACTGCATAATTCCATGTTGAGTTGAACACAGTTGCTGTGTTTAGTAGTACCTCGACAGACCTAGGCACATGGTAGGGCACCCTTATCCGTTATCCCTAAATAATCCCTATATTACTCCTATATAACCCTACATAATCCCTATGTTACCCCTATAGAACCCTATATACTCCCTATACAACCATCAAGGCACATGGTAGGACACCCTTGATGGTGGCAGTCATGAGCGGGCAGCATGAAGCCGCAGCTACGCTCATTGCAGCCGGAGCCCAACTGGATGTGGTGAACTCAAGGCATCATGGCTATGTAGAGTATATAGGGTTTAGGGTTTAGGGTTTAGGGATAAAAAATATATGTATATATATATAAGGGTTATATTCGGGTAATATAGGGACTATCTAGGGATAATGCAAAAGAGAATGGAAGCTACTATTTAGGGTTTCGGGTGTATAGGGTCTAGGGTTTCAGCATGAAGGGTGGTTCGGGCAGGGGGGGGGGGTTGTACTCTTGTAAGCTATAGTGTGAACTCCATCAAGGGGGGTTATATAAGGGTTTATAGAGGAGAGTATTATAAGGGTTATTAAGGGGGATACGAGGAGTCTATAGAGTATAGCTCTTGTAATGCCTGAAAGTAAAGGAAACTGTAAAAGAAACGAGAGTTGATTCGGCAGTCATGTGGCTTTGCTTTGGGACTTATGCCCTGGACTGAAACTCTAAACCCTATAAACCCTAAACCCTAAATAGTAGCTTCCATTTTCTTTTCCATTATCCCTATATATTCCCTATACTACCCCAATATAGTCCTAATATGTATAAACCCTAAATAGCTTCCATTTTCTTTTCCATTATCCCTATATGATCCCCATATTTCCCCAATATAACCCCTTTATATATATATATATATGTCAAGGCAGTGGTCAGCGGCTGACTTTGCGAGAGGCATGCCGGACTTCCTCAGGCAGGCCTTTGAGGGGGACGCCAGCGGCTGCAAGAGATTGGCAGGCCTTGCAAGCAATTATGTTGAAATGTAGTTGAAGACTACCGAGTTGACTCAAATATTCTCCTTTGCATTGTGCTTTTTGTTGGCCGTGCGCTCTTGTAACTGAGTGATTGAACGCGCCGGCCTTCACCGCACAACACTGCAGAAGTGCAGTTGCAAAGCACCTCACTTTAAAGATGCTAAGCATCTCATTTTGCGATGTGTTCAGAACGTGGAGCATTTGGGTGACGCCTTTCAAACTTTCAACATCTGGAGACTAACCAAAAGCCTTGCCAACTCACACTCGGTGCTCCCATCTTGTCCACATCTATACATGACCCCAACATAACCCCAATGTAACCCCAACATAACCCCAACATAACCCTTAATATTGCCCCAATATTCCCCCAAACCCTAAATGCTACATCTCTCATTTCTGCCAGAGCTTCATGGTCATCTCAATAGTTATTCTACCACTACTTCTACTCCTACGTAACTCAGCCCTTTCCCCCTAATATAAAAAGTTCTCCCCCCAAGTTATATACTCCAACCCGTATTTAATGGGGGCGGGGTATTTATCGTACGACCCGAACATTAGACCTTAGAGGGGGTCTATAATAGGATCCTAGTGAAATCTAACTAACATCGAAGTTTGATTAAATCGAAGACAAAGCCGTTACTTTCAACAGTGAGTAAATAGAAATCAAAGTAAAAGCAATCGAAACCTGATTCAAACCTTAGTAAATCCTAGAATCAGCTTAAAACCGTAGTCAAATCAAACCAATTACAATCTATTTAACATCTAGTTAAGATCTAATCGAAATCTAGTCTGATTAAAATCAAATGAAATCCAATCAGAATCTAGTTTAAGGCGACCTAAGTGGCCAAAGAACAAATTCAAATTGCATGTAGATTTTTGTAAATTCTGACTATAATAGCCATGCAAAAAAACAATGAATATCTGGGAAATCAAGGAGAACCCCAATCCTTAGGGGTCATGCTACTGATTTGCCTAATTTAGTGATCCGACCCGTAATTGACTTTAGTTTTGGTTCTGTTTAACGTAGTCTTGGGAGCGGAATTCTGGGGAACCCGTATTTCGTATAAGGGGAGGGGTGTGCTATTAGGGGAAGGGATTACTACATACTGCTTCCAGTGCTTCGCCTGCTAAATAGTTCTGCTGCTCCTGCCACCACTGTTGCTACCACTAATAAAGACAATGACGACGGCGGCGGCGGTGGCGACGACGACGACGACGACCATGATCACGATGACGATGACGACGAGGACGACCAGGACGACGAGGACGACCAGGATCACGAGGAGGCGACGAGGACGACCAGGAGGGCGAGGAGGACGACGAGGACGAGGACGAGGACAACTACGACGACGACCACGACTTGGACTGCTGACTCCTATCACTTTTGTGATCACTTCTGTGTTGTTTGGCTTGCTAGTCCGTGTGCTACTATCACTGCGTATTATGGTTCTAGCCACTGTTACTGTTAGATCTGGTTTTGTATCCTCATTGTTGCTGTTGCTACTGCTATCAGTACCGCTGCTTTAGCAATCATCATGACTACTGGATTACTTCCGGTCAGCAATATTGCGGTTGTTAGTTCTGAATATTTCCCACGGCTCATACTGCTCCTGCTGTTGCTGCTACTAGTACTACTACTGCTGCTACTGCTGCT